ACCAACCAACCAACCAACCAACCAACCAACCAACCAACCAACCAACCAGGCATTTTTCAAGCTTGGGTCACCTTTATATAACTATGGGTAAAAAACTACTTTGCTAAGAATTGTTTGGAGGACCCAAGACAAAATTAACTCAAAATTTTAAGAATCGAAAAGACAGTTCAGTGTACAATATGAACTATAAACATATGTATGGATGTGTAACAAAATCTTTTACTCCAGGATTGAAAATCAGCTGCACCTTTCCCAGGATACTCTATGGCAGTGATTCATAACCTTGGGTCTCCAGATGTTCCTTGACTACAACTTCCAGATATCCTGGCCAGTACACCTAGTGGTGAAGGCTTCTGGAAGTTTTAGTCCAAGAACATCTGGGGACCCAAGGTTGGGAACCACTGCTCTGTAGCAAGGCATGGCATAGTATAATAACATTTTCTGAATAAAATGTGGATGGTCATCTTTCAAGGTCTGGGATGCTTTTTGCTACTGGTTTTCTGCACTGATAGCTGTTTTGGAAAAGTTGATTATTGGGAACCCTTCCAACTCCATGATACTCTATTCCCTCTTTCCATTGTTTGCAGTAAGCATGGCTTGAGCATGCTTCCTCTCCTCAATACCATCACTGAATCCCACATTTTTAAATCTGTGCCCTGGTTCTGACTTGACGACCCACAACAACAACAACAACAACAACAACAACAACAACAACAACAACAACAACAAGTTGTTGTTGTTGTTGTTGTTGTTGTTGTTGTTGTTGTTGTTGTTGTTGTTGTTGATCTGCCACATGTCTCCCAAGGGACCCAAAGCGGCTCACAACATTAAAATCTGCACAATTAAAAACACAGTAAGTTAAATATTTAAAGACAAATTAAACAATATATGATTTAAAATAAAATTAAAAGGTTAAAACATTAAAACATTGAAAAGATTAAAATTATGTGACCTATCCAGAAGTTATTGTAAAAGAATGCCTGTAAACATATAAACATCCTTCTTAGAAAACATGGGCCTTTTCCCCCCTTCTTGGTAAGGTCCCTTTTTCAAAAAAGTGATTGGTGGGGAGGTAATATGAAAAAAGGTTCAGAACCACTTGTGATGATTGGTGAGGAACCTTCAGCCCTCTTACTAAACTACAAATTGAGTCACCCTTCATGGGATGGGACCTATATAGTTCATATATAGTTCATATCTAGGAGAAGAGCACAGGATGCCCAGTCCTAGAGTACAGCAAAGGTGAACAGGAGCCCAGATTTCTGGCTTCTCTGAAAGGCAAGGAAGAGACAGTGATTCACAGAAAGAAAGGACAATTTTTGAAGCAGACCAGGTGACTTTTGTGCTACTGGCAATTCCAGTCCTTCGCTTGCTGAACCTACTTGCAGTTTAGCTGATGAGAGCAAGTAGTCACACAGCGCAGGGGAAGGCTTACAACACAATTTGTCCCCCACATTTTTTGTCTATCTTTCACCAAAGATCGATAGCCTTGGGCTGCCTTCGGATTTACGGAAATGGGCACGTATTCAAATAAGGCGAGCACTCATCCCCTCACGAAAAAACATACCAGGTCTGACAACTTGGAAAAAGTCAAGGGAGGCCCCTGATAAAAAGTTTATCTAAAGAGCCTTCCTATCTGAATGGGTTTATTAGCTCTTGCTTAACATCCCCTCGTAAAAGAAAACGGGGCCTTCCTCTGTATTTCAGGCTATAAAATTTTGTCTTGCCATCACAAAAAAATGAGGCCTAGGCACTTAAGGGCCAGACATTTCAGTGGGCAATGTGACACCAGTGATGTGACCTCTCCACAAGCACACTGTTGTTAATAGTGGAGAAATGTCCAATTTTGAGAACTGATGGTGTGCCCAGCCTCCTTTCTCTTCACCCCCATTCCCCACTTTGCTAGCAGGACATCCTCATGGGTGTTTTCCTCCTGTGTGGTTTACCGCAACAGAGTGGGGAGGAATCTGAATGGGGACACAGTGGAGGGGTAGGTAAAGGTTCCCCTTGACATTTAGTCCAGTCGTGTCTGACTCTAAGGCGTGGTGTTTATCCCTGTCTAGAAGCCGTAGAGCCAGCGTTTGTCCGTAGACAGTTTCCATGGTCATGTGGCGGGCATGACTCGACACGGAACGCCGTTACCTTCCCGCCATGGTGGTACATATTTATCTACTCGCATTTTTACATGCTTTCGAATGGCTATGTTGGCAGGAGCTGGGACAAGCGACGGGGGTTCACTCCATTGCGTGGATTCGATCTTACTGTACGACTGCTGGTCTTCTGACCTTGCAGCACAAAGGCTTCTGCGGTTTAACCCGTAGCACCACCACAGTGGAGGGGTGCAGATGCTCAAATATCTCTCCTCCCCATAGCCCTGGCGTCAATCACACACAAATGCGCTAGCACATGCTTTTTGAGGTGGCACAAACCCCCTGCCAGACCAATGGGTTTAAGCAGGTTTTTCAGCTGTAGCTACACTGTAAAATGCTGAACTGTCCAACTCGTTTTGATTTTCCTACCACTTGAAGAGGTGCTTTGCATTTCCTCTGAGTCCTACGTTCTCTGGCTTAAAACACACCTAAAATTAATCTCTGTTTTTCTCTCTCTCATTGCAGGGCTCATCTGTGCCCTACTAGAACTGTTTGGCTACACACGATGATGTGAATTCACACCCAGGGTCCCTGGTTATTCAGTACTAGCTGCCCAACCGTGATAACATGCTGTAAGAAGAATGACGTATTAGTGGGTTCTCTGAAAGCTGAGAACAAGGATGCCCTGTTTTTCATTCAGATCATCACTGTTGAACAATGAACACAGGTGGTGAATGCCAGCAGAAAATGGGCCCAATGGAGCTACGGAAAAACATGTGAGGGGATTTAGGAAGCTGAATAGAACCCTGAAATTTGCAAAGGTGCCTTAAAGAAGATCCTCTGTCTTCCACATTCAGTGCAACGGGATAATTCAATAGCCAAGAAGTATTTCATTTGGTATAGTATAGCATGCTAACATGCGCTGGATTATGGGAAAGTGTGAAGGCAAGAGGAGCAGGGGACGACAGAGGACGAGATGGTTGGACAGTGCCACTGAAGCTACCAACATGAATTTGACCCAACTCTGGGAGGCAGTGGAAGACAGGAGGGCCTGGCGTGCTCTGGTCCAGAAGAGTCAGACACGACTTAACAACTAAATAACAAGTTAATGGGGCCAAGATGTGTTGCAATTTATTTTCCTAACACTCCTCAGTAGATTCACCTCTATACTCTATACTGGTGCCCTCTAATATTTTGGTGCTCTGGGCCAAAGCCACAGTAACCCTACCCAAGCCCTGTGGAAAAATAAGGTACATTCTGCCCCCCCACCCCCGAAGTGGAAACAGCACTTCTTGTCCTTTCAAAGCTTTTTCTCTCCCTTTTCATTCCCCCTCAGGTGATTCTGTTTTTCTCACACACTAACATGCACGGATTCCCAAAGAGTGTGATGAGGCTGGGAGCTCAGCAGGAGGACAACACGGAGGGGGGGGGAGCCCCGACCCTTTGCCTCTGCTAAGGATACAGGCAAGAGCTAGCCAAGGCTGGCTGGGTGTAGCCTCATCTTGAGGTGGTCCAATTTCCCATCTGTATTAGCAGATCACCACCACCCCAGCATAGCTAAATGCACGTCAAGGGTGCAGGCTCATGCATACTGGAACCCCGATTATGGGAAGAGAAGAATTTTACTTTTGTTCAAGGGGATACCACAGCATTCCAGACTTTGTTGGGTCACACAACAGAGCTGTAATGAAGAGATGTGAGACCAGCCACACACAGGGACAGAGCAGGCGTCAATAATACACATCGGCCCCGGTAAAATGAAATACGGAAACATTCAAAGCATGCATTGGCTCGTCTTCACCTTGAGGGAGGAAGACCAGAATTTACTATTCTCGTGCCAAAGTCCTTTAGCATGAATTTGCAAGTGAGGAGATTTCTGTCTTTCAGTCTTCCTGCCTGTTTGCTAGTCTGTCTCCTGTCTACAGTTAAGCCATTCCTAATACGTTACTCTGTTTCATAGCATCTTTTCGTTTGATTTTTCAAGCACCCTCTTCTGCAACATAAGACCAAACTGTTCAGGGGGGCGTACAATCTTTTTCCGTTTTCTTCCACATGACCTTCTTCCCTTCTGCTTGTATTCTTCCCCTGTCTACATCAACTCGGGTTACGAATGTCCTCCTGGCTCAGACCCTCTGCCGTTACCTTATCTCCCCATTCTAACCAGTTATCATTGGGTTATCAATGGGGAGATAGGTCGCTGAGTTCGTTCCAGGGATGGCCTAAGACATTTTGCCGCCTGAGGCAAAGGACTCAGTGGCGCCCCCTTTCTTTCCACACCGAAAAGCCAATGGAATCTTGCAATCAACCATGGCAAGCGGACGATGCTCTCATCACACCTGAGGTGAGGAGGAGGTGGATGGAGGGGACAAGGCACACAGATCTCTGTCCTCTGAGAGAGGATGATGCCTAGCAGACTCAGGAGGAATGAGAGATGCTTTTGCTTCCTTCCCTCTACTATGTACCATCTGAGAAAGCTACCTTGATCTCATGGCCTGGGTGGCTCAGCCTGGCAGAAGTTATTAGTCGTATCTCTGTAATTATTCTTGCCATCACATCTGCCTTCTCCTCCTCCTTCTTTAGTTTGAGAATGAGGATCCATCCAGTGATCAGATTTAAAATCTTCAAGGGTTCCCCAGCCCCCTTTCCCCTCCCATCAAAGTTTACTCACCTCTTAGGGAACCGAGAGACGAGGATGGAGTGTGTCCAGCCGTTGCTGATGGGCCCCAATATATAGGGGGCAGGAGTGTCAGCCACCCCCTCTTTTCCCCAAACATTTCAAAATACCTTGGCTGCAAAGGGGGCACAGATTCTCACCCCCTCCCAAGCTGACGTAAAAAAACTACGGTTGGATGTTTGTGCTAGGTGGGAAGTGGCCTACCTCTGAGCGTCACTGCAAACACCCAGACGGGTTGCCTGTCTCCACCAGCCGTGTTATCTGTGTTTCTGACAAAATAAAGTGGAAGAACTGGAAACGCCGATGAGAATCAGAGCAAGCTAAGTTCACACACGGAAGGCTTTCCAACAAGGGTAAGTCTTCGTAGCCAAGGAAGAGTTGGGTGGGTAAGAACACTAAAGTTGGGATCTTGGAGAATAAGCAGACATATTCTATGGCAGATGATGTTGGAGTGTTTTGTGTGTGACAAGATGTTTCTTTGTGTTTTTTCTGCAGGAATTTAAGTTGGTTTGTAAATATAACAAGGCAGAGATCATAGTTCAGTGGCAGAGAGACATGCTTTGCATACTGAAGGTCTCAAGTAAAATCCTTAGTATCTCTGGCTGAAACACACACACACACACACACACACACACACACACACACACACACACACACACACACACACACACACACACACACACACACACACACACACACGGGTGTAAAAGATCAGGGAGCAGGTGGTGGGAAAAAACTTTGTCTTAGACCTCCAGGAACTGCTCCAGGATAGAATAAACAATTCTGGAAGAATAGCCTGACTTAGTATAAAACAGCATGTTATTTGTGCAAGCTTCAAGGTTACACAGGATTACTTGTCTGGTGGAACCAAATTAGACAACAATGTCTAATGTAAAGGGCTAAGCCTTTTCAGGATTGGACACGGGGAGAGGAGAGGAGAGGCATGGAGAGAGGAGAGGAAAAGGTAGAAACACTATTTGTTTCTTTTACAGAAAGGAAGATGTATATTCACAGTCTGCAAGTGTTAAATGTTAGAAATGATGTTTTAGAAAGACAAGGATTGTATATTCTCTTTATAGTGCATGTGCTTATACAGATAGTCCCCTACTGAAAGCAGTCTTTAATGACTGAATGTAAAGCCACTCTTCTTATTGCATTTATTGAAAATATATATTTATTAATTTAAAATAATTTTACCCCACCTTTCTCCTTAAAAAGGACCCAAGGTGGCCTACATCAATTAAAAGGCAATATTTAAACCCAACAACAGGAAGTACACAAATAGTCAAACAAATACCACACATCCAAAGCAGTAAATTACAACTATCCATTAAAAAACGTCACTTAGGCAGCCAGTCACTCAGGGAAAGTAGGCTCTTCACTGGCTTGTGGAAGGACAGCAAAGATGGGGCCAGCCTGGCTTCCTGTGGGAGGGAGTTCCAAAGTCTGGGAACTGCCACAGAGAAGACTCTCTCCGGTGTCCCCAGAAATTGCACCTGTGAAGGTGGTAGGACTGAGAGAAAGGCCTCTCCTGATGATCTTAATACCCGGGCAGGCTCATAAATATAGTAATCTTGCTTGTCATTTCATCTGGAGGACGCCATCTACCTTTTCTGCAAATATTATCCAGTGCTACAACGCAAATGGCATTCCTTCATCATTATGTTCAGCGCTTTTCTGCAATCCCTGGAATTTAGCTTCACATAAACCTGCACTCCTATGAGCAGAATAACTGAGATCAGCTGTTGCTTCACAGATTTTCACTATTCCTTTCCAAGACCACGGAAACTGCCACCACAAAGATTTCCTGGCAATCACATTATATGTCACATCCCTTTTCTTAGTAGAAATGTTGTGAATCCCCCCTACCATCTCCCAATGGGGACAAAAACAAAGAATTGATCATCCCAAAATAATCTTGAGCATGAATTTACCCACAGAGGAATGCAAAAAGAAGAATCCGGGGGATTTACCAGGACAACCAATCACTGATTTTCATATTGCAGAGTGCTTTTCACTGGGGGGTTGGAGTTGATGACCTCTGGGGTTCCTTCCACATTTACTGTTCCATGTTTCTATACAATCCTAATGCAAAGTAGAATTGCAGATGACTTTGCCATTGGGCAAGGGGTATTGTGTGTATGGCCTCATTCCTGTATGCATTGCCTGTGATGTTTTGTTCCCGTAATTGGTTGCCACACATATGGCAAATGGACAGTTCACTTTTGCATACTACTAGTTTCCACCCAATCCTAGAGAGAATACATAAAATACACTTACAGCAGAATCATTCATTTGCCACAGCTCTGTTTTATTGACCTTGGGATTTGTCGTTTGATGTACAATTTAGAATTTCCTGCTAAAGGCTCTAGTGCCTTTCTAGAACAACAGAGAGTTCTAAGTATCTTGTCAGACCACAAATCACACGATTCCACAGGATTCAGCCATGATGGGAAAAGTGGTATCAAAGTGCTGTAACTAAGTTGTGAAGGTTTACTTAATATTTGCCATAAAAATGGGCCTAAATTTAATTGCTAGTTCAAAATACAGGAAACTTATTGACTGACAAAAGATGTAGCAACAAATTGCCCTATATTAAAGAAATTTCCATTGGCTTGATCTGAATCACATAACTCAGCTGATAATACAGACAGATATTATTTATGACAGTTTGCTGCTAAGAGTTAATCTTTTTGCATAACTGCTTAATAGGATTTCAGGCATCACATCACTTGTTAAGTAATAAATCAACACTTCAGGAAGTTCTATTAAAATCAATGGGCCTACTTGAGCTGGGACCAACAACTGGATCTTGGCTCCATGTATTCTGTTGGTGCTATCTCAATTATCTTGCCTATTACCTTCAATTCCTGGGAAAAATTTACAAATTCAAAGAGGTGAGAACGGGATGCATTTTTGTGTGACAGAGAGAGACAGAATGGGGAAGGTGTTAACATCTTGGCAGACTGACTAGTCCTGCTTCTGAACATGCTGAGCAGCAGCACGCAGCCTTCTCCATTCTAGTGGGTCCTACCCACCTGAGGATTTGATTAAAAATTGTGTTCCAAATTCTGTTTCACCCTACTTCTCAAACAGTTCCTCAGAAACAGCTGTGGTAGCATTTTCTTTAATGAGCCTTATCTTAGGTCTGTCAACCTGGTATATAGATACAGTATATGGATCGCTGTTGGCACAATTTGGATTGGGGAAAAAGATCACGTCTGTGTGTATTGCTATTTAGATAGAGTCATTCTTTCCCTTTAAGAGCGGTCACACACCTTTCTGATCCAGTGGTAGGGAAAAAAGATCACATGTATTTCTATTTAGATAGAGTCATCCTTTCCCTTTAAGAGCTGTCACACACCTTTCTGATCCAGTGGTAGGGCATGCATTCTTTTTGGCATGCATGCTGGGGTCTGTAGAGACTGGTTGTTTTGGGGGTGGGGGAGATCAGGCTACAAAAAGTCTGTCGAGGTCAGGGGGAGAAGTGGTGTGCCATTTGGCTTGCTCCTCTGAACAGCAAACGACCCCTGATAGCCAGATCAGCTGTCAATTAAGTGCTTCCTCTGATCATAAGAGGAAGTGGGGGGAGAATGAAAGAAGGGAAATGGAGGAAGGAAGGGCGAAAACCAAATGGTACTGACAGAGGGAGAGAAGAGAGATGTAAAAAAAAAAGATTTCTCTTCCCCTGACCCTCCAAAGATGATCAGGAGAAGGACTGCTGATTGTGCTACAAGAGGTCATTTGTTGTTCAGATGGGAGGAGCATGCCAAGTGGCACATTGCTCCTCTCCCTGACCTCAACAGACCCTTTGTGGCCCAATCCACCTGACACACCCAAAACGGCCAGTCTAGACAGGCCCTTAATTTCTAGGAGAACAGGTTTATGTTCCTGAATGTAACGTTAAGACAGAATCTTTCTCCTCAAGCTGAGAAACCATGACCTTGTGAGGTAACCCTATTTGAGGTCAGTGAGATGGTCTCTTTGGGGCTCTGTTAAACAATCCCTCTCAATGAACACCACCATATTTTCATCTCAGGTCATCTTTGCCTAATTTGCCTTCTACGTGACCCTTGGATTCTTCTCCCTTACATGCAAATATACCCGTTTGTGTTTTTTAATAGCCTTGGCCTTTGAGACCTCTTGGGCTTATTCCTTATCAGTGTTGCTACAATTTTTATCTCATATATGACCAACCCAGCCACTAACCTGTTGTCGAGGTTAAAAAAAAGAGAGAGGAAAGAATGTGAAGGCTTCCTCAGGGGTGGCAACACGTTTTTGCTGATTTCAAGGGAAAGTCTCCTTATCTTAAGAAACCAGTCACTAGACAGGAAATTCCTCCTTGAAAAGTAAGGAAAAAACTTCAGATTGGTGAGAAAACCATACTGGGAAGGTTGTCGTAGCTCATTCTGACCTCAGAATAATTTTATAGGTTCCCTCATGTTGCAATTCTGACAAATGCAAATGGCGTTTACATTTGGCTCTTCTACGCATGTTGTTCTATTCAGATCAACGGGCTTCAAAACCCAGGCCAACGCTCTAGGTGGCAATCCTATGCTCATGAGTAAAGTCACTGAACTCCACAGGATTTAACAGCTAGTTAGGGATGACATCACAAACCTTATGTAAGCCATGTCTCATCCCTTTTGCAACCACAAATGAGGAAAGATTCTCTTGACTCATGCTCATAAAATTCCTTTTTTTGTGGACAAAAGGAAGCAAAACCAGGATAGACTTGTGCAGTTATTCACATATTTATCATATAACGTTTATTACGACATATGTTTTGATAGAAACAGAGTTGCTCTTCAAACTGGTTTTGGATCACAGCTATGCTGAAGTAAGTCACAACTAGAGTAGGCCCATTTGAATCAATGGAGCTTAAGGAGGAGTTGACTCACCAAATCCCCACTAATTCAATGGGCCTACTCTAGTATGATTTACTACACTAACGGATGCATACTTTGTGGATTTTGGCCACAAAGTATGCATCTTTAAATATCCATAAGGCTCCTATC